GTGTGTGTATGTGAGTGTATGGGAGTATATGTGAGAGTGTGTTTGTGAGAGTGGGTATGTAAGAGTTTTCTGTAAAAGTGTGTATGTGAGAGAGTGTGTATGTGAGACAGTGTATGTCAGAGTGTGTGCATGTGAGAGAGTGTATTTCTGAGAGTGTGTGTAATTGAGAGTGTGTATGTGTGTGTGAGTGAGAGAGTGTGTATGTGTGTGTGAGTGAGAGTGTGTGTATGTGTGTCTATGTCGGAGTGTGTGCATGTGAGTGTATGTGAGAGTGTGTATGTGTGAGAGTGTGTATATGTGAGAGTGTGTATATGTGAGAGTGTGTATATGTGAGAGTGTGTATATGAGTGTGTGTATATGTGAGAGTGTGTATGTGTGAGAGTGTGTATATGTGAGAGTGTGTATATGTGAGAGTGTGTATATGAGTGTGTGTATATGTGAGAGTGTGTATATGTGAGAGTGTGTATATGAGTGTGTGTATATGTGAGAGTGTGTATATGTGAGAGTGTGTATATGTGAGAGTGTGTATATGTGAGAGTGTGTATATGAGTGTGCGAATGTAAGTTAGTGTGTATGTAACAGTGTGTATGTGAGAGTGTGTATGTAACAGTGTGTTTGTAACAGTGTGTATGTGAGAGTGTGTATGTGAGATTGTGTATGTGAGAGTGTGTGTATGTAAATAAGTGTGTATGTGAGTGTATATGAGAGTGTGTGTATGTGAGTGTGTGTTTGTGAGAGTGTGTATATGAGAGTGTGTATGTAAGATTGTGTATGTAAGAGTGTGTATGTATAAGTGTGTATGTAAGAGTGTTATGTGAGTGTATATGAGAGTGTGTGTGAGAGAGTGTTATGTAAGAGTGTGTGTATGTAAGAGTGTGTGTATGCGAGAGAGTGTGTATGTTAGAGTGTATGTAAGAGTGTGTATGCAAGTGAGTGTGTATGTGACAGAGTGTATAGGTAACAGTGTGTATATGTGGTGAAAATGTGTGTGTATATACAAGAGAGTGTGTGTATAAGAGGCTGTAAGACAGAAAGAGAGAGAGAGAGAGAGGGGGAGAGAGAGAGAGGGAGAGAGAGAGAGACAGAGAGAGACAGACAGACTAAATCTTTTAGAAAGAGAAGGTGTTTGCTGAGCGCATAATTCTGAGATAGTGTGGAGAGAATGTGTGAGGTGAGAGAGAGAGAGGGAGAGAGAGATAGAGAGAGAGAAAAACAGAGAGAGAAACAGAGAGTGAGACAGAGAGAGTGTGAGTGTGTGCTCTGCTGTTTTCCCTCACTGTACCTGAATGCACGTGCGCACAATCACTGCTGTCTCAGCACGGTACAAATCACGTGCAGACCGCATGACCTCTGTCAGCACGTCAGTTCACACCCTCTAGTCCTGTGTTAGGTTAGTTGCGTATCCTTTGCAGGACGTTGCGGAAACAACCCCAACAGCCCCTGACTGCTGTGTGGTTTTTGTAGGCAAATTTAGGTCCAGTAGTTTATCATTGCTTACTGGACGGTCAGCTTTCTTGATACCACTGTCGAAACCTACGCAAGGCGCATGGCCCGCAGCTGGGATCGAACCAGGCATCCCGGCATTTTGAAGCGTTCGCATCAACTTAGCCACAGAGCCGACCTAGTTCGGTATACTGATTATAATTTGTAATACGCATGGTCTTACACGGCTCGGTGCAAATCAGTCCAACCTAGAGGCGCAGAAAAAGAAATGTAACAGGATTTAACCCCCCCCCCCGCCCCCTTTTTTAAAATCAATTTTTTTACCCTCCTCCAACAATGTATAAACTTTCTATTGTTGTGTATTTGTTAGGGCTGTACCTAATAGTGATTTTCACTATTCGGCCGAATACGAATAGCTGGACCAACTATTCGACCGAATACGAATACGAATAGTGAATCATCCTCATTAGGTGCTTTGCCGACTGGCATGGGCGATTATGCATCGCCACAATCTGCGATCTCCTGCAACATGTATTAGTTTGTTTGCTGACACACCTCCATGCCATGCAACATGACTGTCAAGGATCTTCTCTCGTGTCTTCCTCTATTCCTCCTTTCACATATCTTTCCAGTCGTCACAACATGTTCCATTTTCCCTCATCTTATAACATGGCCGAAAAATGATGACTGTCTCCTTCTGATGTCTGTGATTAGTTGTCTTTGGGTTTCCGCCTTTATCAAAACCTCTAAGTTACTTTTGTTGTTGTTGCTTGTCCAAGATATTTTAAGCTGTAAAAGGTTCTGTAAAACCACATCTCTGAGGCCTCAAGAAATTGTTTGGCCTGCCTACCGATTGTCCAGGACTTACAGCCATATTTTAAAACTGGATGTATGCAGCAAGCAAGAATTCTTTTTCTAACCTTTAATGATAAAGATATATTGCATAAGATGTTCTTCATTTTATAAAATGCAGTTTTTGCCTGTCCTATTCTGTTTCTTATTTCAGTAATGCATGTTCCATCTGATGTTATCCATGTGCCCAGATACTTTAATTTCTGTACATGTCCAAAAATAAAACCATTGACTTTGATTACACACTTACGAATGATTATTTTCTTTGATACCACCATTACTTCTGTCTTCCCCCTATTCAAACTGAGGCCCATTCTTCCACTTTCGTGTATAAAATAGATCTAAAAAAATAAAAAATAATCCATGACTTCAAATCTACCCCTCCCCCCCCCCCCAAAAAAAAAAAAAAAATAATTGTACTTCACATGCAGTACAGAATAGTAAACATTTAAAAACATGTCATGTTTTGCATCCTTCAGTCAGTCAGTCAGTCTGTGGTAATACTTAGGAATGAAAGTATTCTTAGTTTTATAACAAGTAACTAAACTTGTAAATTGTCACTGACAGCTTAGTTAATCCATGAAAGCGACATTAGCTTTCAACAATCGTTCCATGTTGTCAGCATTAAGGCAGCTTCTTGTCTCAATGAAGGTATTTCCAGCTGTACTAAACAGACGTTCACTTAGTACGCTTGGCAGTATGAACCAAGGTGGGAAATCTGGACATGTTTATTTTCCACCTGTCCAGAAACAGGTGTAAGGTAACCACTATTCGTATTCGGTCCGACCGCAACTGTTCGGCCCAATACAGAATAGTTATTAGGTCCACTATTCGGCTCCGAAGCGAATACGAAGCGAATTTTTTGGTACAGCCCTAGTATTTGTTCACATATTTACTATTGTTTTAAATACATTATTATAATAATATACTCTTCAGCACCTTATGGCTGACAGTTGGTTAGTCTTCAACTATTTTGTTTGTTTGTTTTGTTTTCTAAAACTTTTTCAATTTTTGAGTATTTGGTTTTACTGGGCAGCTTAAGTTTCAGTTTTCCATTTCAATAATTCACTATCGTGTCCGGCTACTTCCATCAAAAAGAATGACAAAAAAATGGCGCTGCGAGAAGTTATTACCTTGCCCACGCTCGACATTCACGGGAAGGATGAGACGGATATACAATCCAACAGTTACTCCTACTATCAGGATTTTAACTCTTCGCTCGCTGCTGCTAACTCTTCGCTCGCTGCTATGAAAGATGGGGACTGCGCTCTAGTGGGGGTGTCTCGATTTCTGTGATGTCAATTCCTAATTCAACATGTAACAATGGGTATTTTAACTAGGCTACCGAAGGCTTAATATTATTAGATTATGTATCATTTCATATTAACTAGAAGCGAAGGAAATATTTGCAACAAAAAGTCACAACAATAATCCTAGTGGTTCAAAGTTAGTGTACGCGATTGGCAGCCGAAAAATTTAGGCCAGATCCCCAGGTTTAAAATACCTATCAATTCTTCTTCTTCTTCTTCTTCTTTTTCTTCTTCTTTTTCTTCTTCTTCTTCTTCTTCTTCTTCTTCTTCTTCTTCTTCTTCTTCTTCTTCTTCTTCTTCTCTTCACCTTTTACCTCATTGAAGTGTCGGGGGAGATGTAATGTTTGTTGATGAGCTCTGTCAAGAGCACTATTAAGACTGATGTTCATTTCTGTAAGGCTGTTCTTAATGCCATCACTCCATATTTTCCGAGGTCTTCCACTCTCGCTATACCCGTTGTAACGTTTTAGTGTGGCTTGCTGTGTCAGATAGTACCAGGGCATTCTTGTTAGATGTCCAAACCACTTCATTTGTTGTTCTTTGATGATCTGTAAGTCTGGCTTTATTCCTAGCATTCGTCTGATTTCATGATTTCGTATTCTGTCTTTCCTTAAAACTCATGCAGCTCTTCTAAGGCATTTAATCTCTGTTGTCAGAATTTTACGTTCATTGGAGGATGTAAGTGTCCACGTTTGGCATTGATAGCATAGTGTTAGCAAAAAAATAGTTCTATAAGATTCACTTTAGTACTCCGAGGTATCTGCTTGTGTGTTAACAGGGAAGATAGTTGACCCATTACTTGATTAGCGTTGGCACATCTGGAGCTAATTTCTCTGTCCAGTTACTATACCTATCAATTGCCTTACTGAAAGGTTGTTATTCTGTAAATCTAATTCATCGTCCAATTGTTCCTATGTTTAAGCGGTTGTGACGTTTAATATCACGTGATCTGATCTGTTGCAAGGCCTGCCTACCGTCGTCGGTCATGCTTCGAACTAGGCTATGTCAGATTTATTAAACTACGTTAACAACCATTAAACCATAGCGCTGTCTGAGAGACGAGATGGGCACGTGTTTTGCCGGGGGGGGGGGGGGGGAGAACAAAACTGTCACGTTCAACTAGCATCCCCGAATAGGGAGCTTGATGTTATAATTATGACTAGATTATTTGGAACATAAATTGGCTATTAGCACTGCACGCGACCAAGAAGCTCTGAAAAGCACTCCCGCAATGTTGACGAGATCAAAGAAGACAGACCCAAACACTCTCCTGACCTGCGGCGAAGTCGTCTACCGGCCAGCCAAAGAGTGACCCAGTCGCCGATGATGATGAAGTGAGTGAGAAGTAGGCGAGACACAGTAGGATTTTAAAACACCAGTAGACGGCTAGCTTACCTGGCTGTTGTGACGTCCTGCTGTTTTGTACCCGTAGATTTTACCTCGCATGTGAACATTTCTCTCGTGGCGCCGAAGGTCGTTGGACTGGGTGAAGCATCTGTGGCATATTTTACACTTGTACGGTCGCTCGCCTGTATGAACCCGTTCGTGAACCTGTGTAGGAATAGATGCTCTTTAATTAACATGCTTTTTTGCGTATCATTTACAGGCTATTGCAGAACCAACCCTAGTATTTTTTTTTGGTTGTTGTGGTTTTTAAAGGCAAATTTGACGTTCAGTAGTTTGCCACTGCTACTGAACTGTCAGCTCTTGTTACCACTGTCGAAACCAACGTAAGACAACCCCCTCCACAGCTGGGATGGAACCCGGCATTACGAAGCGCGTTTGCAACGCCTAAGCCACAGACACATTAACATGCAATTACTTAAAATGGGAGTCGCTGTGGTGTGGCGGCTAGATGCTCGCCTGCGGATCGGAAGGTCTGGGTTCGGGTCCTGACAGAGACGGACTTTGTTTTTCACAAATGACCTTAGCTCCCAGGTCGACTCAGCCTTGAGTGGGTACCAGATGCAGTCATGGGAAGTAAAGGCGGTGGGCTTGATGCTAACCACATCACCCACCATGAGAATAATAAATGAAATGCACTCCTCTATACAGACAGTGAGCTGCTGAGGCAGCCGGCTGATTTGAAAACATAGCAGCAAAAAACAATGAAAATTAACTTTGAAAAAAGCTAATTAATCAAGCACGCACAGACAGCCAACAATTCACACACACACACACACGCACGCACGCACGCACACACACACACACACAACAAGGGGAAACAAATTAAAAGAACATAAATGAAATAGGTGGTTGGTTAGTAAGTCTAAAGACGTGTTGAAATGGATAGTTAGATAGTCTTAAGACGTACTGAAGTGGATGGTTAGTAAGTCTAAAGACTTGCTGAGGTGGATGGTTAGTAAGTCTAAAGACGTGTTGAAGTGGATGGTTAGTAAGTCTAAAGACATGTTGAAGTGGATGGTTAGTAAGTCTAAAGACATGTTGAAGTGGATGGTTAGTAAGTCTAAAGACGTGTTGAAGTGGATGATTAGTAAGTCTATAGACGTGTTGAAGTGGTTGGTTAGTAAGTCAAAAGATGTGTTGAAGTGGATGATTAGTAAGTCAAAAAACGTGTTGAAGTTTATGATTAGTAAGTCAAAAGACGTTTTTAAGTCATCTGATATTGTCACCTTACTGATCCATGTTATCCTAATAGGCATCTCATTATTACCACCATCCTCATCCAACTACAACTACCACCACCATCATCAGCACAACCACAACTACCATCATCATCATCGCAACCACCACCATCATTATACAAACCATCACTATCAGTAACCATACAATCATCATTAGCATCACCATTATCACTACAACAATGATTACCACTACGAGTATCATCATCACCACCTCCACCACCACCACATTACAATAGAATTATTATTATCATCATTATCACCGTTATGACACCATTATATTATCATTATTATCATTATCATCACCAACACAATTACAATTCCATCATCATCATTTACTTCACCATCCTTATCATTATCACCACCTTTATGATACAATTAACAACATCATCACCACCACCACCATTGTCAATCATCATCACTATACTACTATCATCACAATCACCACTTTTAACATACCACGATCATCTTCCCCATTAGCCTAACAAACCATCATCCAAGTCCAAGGATTGATTCCACGTGAACTCTTCTGGTCAGGGCTGCCAATGGGAGGTTTATCAAAACCCAAGCTACGCTGAACAAAACCCCCAAGCAAAATATAAGCATGATAAAAATTTTAGTTATGAAAAGACACATTTACCCACTTTTATATAAGGACAGATTAAAAAAAAAAAAAAAAAACCATGATTCCAAAATCGGAACCAAAGGTGTTATATAAAAACCCAAATCTTGGGGGGAAACCCAAGTTTTGACAGTCCTGCATCACCTACTGTTTCATAAGTTGAGTTGATTCAAAAAATGACAACACCGCAAATGGGAGCATTCCAATGCATGCTCCGTCCTCATCTTCAGCAGCCAGCTCAAAGTTCAAATACAGATGGTACCGGTCACAATCTGGTTATATGTCCGTCTTGCCTTTCCTCTGAGTGTAGTGAGCCGGCCAGACCCTCTGGTTATACCCAGGTGCCTCATTCTCTCCTGGCCATTATAATCTTCTTTCTCTATTGATTCCGTTGCTTGTTCCCAAAGGGCCTTGACCACATTTGCCTTGTCATGTATCAATTCACCACCCAGTGGTGCGGATCCAGCCAGTGTGTCTGCCTGTTCCTTACCAACCACGCCGGCATGGCCTGGAGAAAAGATCGAAAGTATGCCTACTGTTCCATGTTTCTCACCATCCCCAACCCACAGAAACCCAGACATCTTCCACAGACTTACCTTTAAATTGGAGGACCACAGGAAGGACTTGCCACAGGTGTTGCACACGTAAGGTCTGTCCGCCCGGTGAAGTTGCTCGTGCTTCCGCAAGGTGGCGATTTCTCGAAATGACCTTTGACACACCTCACAGCGATGGGGTCGTGGTCCGTTGGAGGGGGGCAGCCCTTTCAAACTGTTCTCGTCCATAGCTGCAAACGAATAACATGGGACTTATAACTAGATGAAATACATTATTATAATTATTATTTTAATTATAATTATAATTATTATTGCTATTTCTATTATTATTATTGTTATTATTATAATTAATATTATTATTAAAAACATTATTACTTTACTTAATAGGCGGGGAACCCTTCCCTTGTAGGATGCAATCCCTTGCCAGGGGCCGCGATATAGCGTGCCCATAAATATGGTCTAAAAGTTGAAGGCGGTTTCTGGGACCTTTCCACGGGTGATCTTCATCCACGCGTTTGCACTTTGTGACATCGGGTGTTTGTCGCTTGTGTGATGTCCTGGTTGGGTAAAAGCACTACTACTACCCCGGAGGTAGCAGACGTAATGAACAAACATACAAGAACTGATCCGCACTCATAAAAGGAAGTAGAGAGACAAGAGGACACAATAGACAACATTTCTTAAATCCCTACTTCTTTCTATGACTGCTGTTTGGTTATTATATATTTGTTTATTATGCTTAACATAAAATGTGTGGGAGTGGAAACTTTTATGACAAGTTAAATGACAAATGTCATCATCACCATCAGCACCATTACCGTCATCATCGACACAAATACCACTACTATTATCATACATTTATATTTATAATCATCATCGTTATCATCACCATCACACTAGCCGCCTTTATTACCCAGGAAATTACCTGGTACCCAGGTACATATCTAGAGGAAACCTGTTCCTCTGTTTTTGTGGACCGCGAAACGAGTTCCTCTGTTCTGGTGGACTGTACAAGTTCTTCTGTTCTGGTGGAAAGTTTGTCTGTTTTGGTGGAAAGTTCTTCTGTTGTGATAAACGCGAGCTAACAAAGTTGAGGAACACTGGTGTATATAAAACTAACATAACAAATCGACAGCGAGTCTGTGACTTAACACACACAACAGACAACTGGTGAAACAGTCAGCTTTTAGATACCAAAGAGCCGTGAGCGCTGGTGTCGTCAGAAATATATTTGAGCGTTTGCGGTTGGCGGACTGGTTCTAAATATGTCTGCTTAAAGAAACAGTCGGGCCAAATGTAGACCATATTTTTTTTTTCAAGATGATAATTTAGTGTGGCCCGCAAAATGATATATTAAATATCAAAATGACCATTGACTTTATATACCCCAAAGCCCACATCCCGGTCATAACCTAAATGATATACCGAATGGGGCAATAGATCATCCCCATCCTCAACAACAGCAACAACAACAACAATAACTCCAACACCAGAGATAAACTATTGCTCTCGAGGGATGAAATCACTCATTACGCCGTACTTAAAACCCAGACATGTTTACCTATATGTTCTCATTAACTCCTAGCCTCCACTCAACTACGCCCCTGACTTAGCGTCAATCCTGCCAACATATTGCATCATCGGCACTCATTCGTTTCCTCATGCGGAAAGAAAACAGTGCAATCTCCTCGCTAGACGAAATCTAATTTTGTTGAGCATCACTTCTGAAATTTTATTTCACTGATTGAGTTAATCATTGGCGTTTTCATAGAATAGAAGTAGCCCATAAATCGGCTGTTTACCATGGAGTTCAGGAGCAGGGGCGTGTCCACGGTCTTAGTTTAGGCTATTTTGTTCAGAACCCACAGGGGAAACCCCTTTATTAATTATCATAAGCCCTGTGTGGGATTTGGGGCCCCATCGTGGGGGAAAACAAGAATAAATCCAGTGCCTATCTGAAAAGCATGTCGTAGAGTCAACTGATTAGGGGCATCATTCGAAGTCAGAATATATCTGCCTGTGAGACAATGAACCAAAAGTCTGCATACAAATAATCCAGATTTGTGAAACAGGTGTTAGCACAACACTAAGGTTTTGGAACATGACTCAAGTTCTCAGGTGGACGAACACCCAGAACATTCCACTAGAGTTTACAGCCAGTGAACGCGAAGAAGAAAAACAAAGACGAAGAATTATCATGCTATTTCAAGATGTCACTATAACCAACAGGCGTCTTTTCAGGCAAAAGTGCCTAAACTAAGCTATAGAAAGGCAAGAAAATCACAGCCCATGGCGATGGCGATTATGACCAGCAAGATCAACTCACGTTAAGAAGAATCTTCCCTAATAAGTACAGGAGATTTGAGAAACACAATTGCAGTCACATTAATCTGACCGATTTCTTCTCGGATGCTGAGCTCATTGGCTGTTGAAAATCGTCTCCTATTCTGCCTCTGTTTCCTGTTTAATTTCCCCCTATGTGCAATGCGGTCCGTGGAATCCTGTTCCCGTAAGTGTATCTCAATGCCCGTATCATTCATGTCTCTCTTGCACAAATATTTAAACCGTAGTAGAGGCCCACCTCGACGTATTAGGTAGAAAGACGTTGAGGGTGGCCTTCACTGCGATTTAAATAAGTAAGGTAAAGTAAAGTAAAGTAAAGTAAAGTAAAGTAAAGTAAAGTAAAGTAAAGTAAAGTAAAGGACCGTTTTCCCCGCCTTTAGGCGTATAGGGCATTTAGGGCTAGACCTAGATTTTTTGGGACCAATCGGCACAAGCTGGGTGATGTGGTCAGCATCACGCAGGCCGCCTCTACTTCCCGGGGCTGCACGCGGTACCCACTCAAGGCTGGGTCGACCTGGGAGCCAAGGTCATTTTTGAAAAAAGTCCGGCTCTGCCAGGGAGCGAACACACGACCTTCCGATCCGCGGCGAGCGTCTAATCTTTATAACTATTGCAATAGCTCATCATGTTTCACGAAATATTGTAATATTTAAACACGCCTTCAAATTATTATTATATTTTGTGATGGCTCTATAATTGTCGCAATATTTAATGATTGTTGTAAAATTACTAAAACATTTAATGTTGTTTTTATAATCACCACGGTGAGCCATTCTATTATAATTACTGCAATACTTCACGATTATCACTTTCATGATGTTTTTATCATTATCAAGATTGTTCATATCATTAATGATATATATTATAATATGCTAAGAAACCATTAAATATATGGAACGAAAATGTAATGCAATCAGAAATAAATGCTTGAGGAAAAAGATAGATTAAAATGGGATGATTTCAAAAAAGGAAAAGAAATGAGAGAAATGTCTGAACAACCTCTGGCAACAACAGTTATAAGACGGAGAAGATGGCGCTACACTGGACGCATCCTGACAAGAAACCGACAGAGGATCAACAGACAGGCACTAAAGTGGAGGGGGGGGGGAGGATTAAGGAGGCGAAGACACCCAAAAGAAACCTGAAAACGTACGTTCATGCGAGAGACCAAAGCTGCTTTGCTGAATTCCATAAGATAGAATAAGGGAACATAATGCGAGCAATATGTGACATATAATGGGCACAAGAGGACAATGAATGAATGAGTAACTATCACATGCTACTTGCAAAGCTAGTTTTTGTGTCGTGACAATTTATGGCACAACCATCTGCACTCGGGAAGTGTGTGTGATGTCTTTATGTGGGTGTGTGTGTGTGAAAGTGCATGTATACATATGCGTATATGTGAGTAGGTGCATGTATATGTGTTGTGGCACGCGAGCGAATGTATGCATACAACCAACTGACGATTTGTGTACAACTACGCATTTAATAAAGGGTAAATACATTAAGGATTCCCCCCCCCCCCCAACTGTTGACACTGAACAGAAAATAAACTCTTTTCCACGCCATCGGGCTACGGGGCATATAGGGCTAGACCTAAATTTTATAGACCAATCGGCACTTGGAGGGTGGTGTGGTCAACGTCATGCCTTTACTTCCCAGGACTGTACCTGGTATTCATTTTAAGGCTGGATCGACCTGCAAGCCAAGGTTTTTTTTTTTTTTTGGTTCACGAAAAAATGTCAGGCTCCGACACTGTCTGGACCCTCCGACACTGTCTGGACCCTCCGACACTGTCTGGACCCTCCGACACTGTCTGGACCCTCCGACACTGTCTGGACCCTCCGACACTGCCTGGACCCTCCGACACTGTCTGGACCCTCCGACACTGCCTGGACCCTCCGACACTGTCTGGACCCTCCGACACTGCCTGTCCACAGGTGAGCCTCTGGACGCTACATTCTGGCGGCTCCCGGTAGTAACAAACAGAGAAAAACTAATAACGACGTTTCATAGGCTGTAAATAGACATGTAGTTGTCTCGCTTCATTCAGCATTGCTCCCCGTGTGGGTTCCGGGGCCCACTTGTGGGAAGGACAAGAAGCGACCGACTGCCTGTCCAAAAGCATGTCGCCATTGGGAGCTTCCTTTGATGTCGGAGTACGTCTGCCTGAGAGGCAAGGAACCAACAGTCTGCATGTAAATAACTTAGGCCTGTGAAGCGGATGAACACGCAACACTCAGTTTTTGGAACAGGACTAGAGTCCAGAAGTGGACGAACAACCAGAACTTTTCCGCCGGAGTTTACAGCCGGTGAACGCGAAGAAGAAGAAGAAGATTCAACACTGCGGATTCCTGGCATTGCTGGTCGCCGCTGATTTAAATCACCTTTCATATCTAATCTCTACTTGTCTTGACGCTGTGAATGTACGCATGGTTACTGATTTGAGAAGACTCTTTGATTGAAACAATGGTGGCAACAGCAGGCGCTAAGCGGAAGTAAATATATACAGCGCCTTCGTTCAATTTTCACCACCTGGCGCTAGTGCAGAGGTGTCAGTGCATCGATCCGCACTCAAAACCGTGGTGGTCTTGTGGCTAGGCGCTCGGCTGTAGGCACGAAGATGGAGGTGTCAAAACCGCATATCTGACCTTATTATCTTCCAGCCTTGATCTCTTCAATACGCGATGATCTACTTGGGTACTTTTCTTTTAATTCACTCCATCTCATGGACTGCAATTTCGTGGGGAGTTCCCGGGAAAAACCAAAATGGGTGGGGGTTTTGGTAAGGGTTAGTGTTAGTCGGTGTTTACTCACACCATGTCCATCTTTAGACTATAAATTTATAGCTACAGAAGGGCGTGATTCACACCATAACACCT